AAATACAACTAAAAATCGAAAAACATTCCTAAAATTAAAATCGCTCAAGTTTAAATGTCAGCAAGCATGATGAAACAATCAGGTAGATCACCCACAATTTCAAGGATGACCATTTTCTCCAATGATTTTCCAAGATAGAGTCTAGCTAATATAATTTGCCTGTGAACATACGGCCTGTTGACTAGCCCCCACTGATGTTTCAGTAGGGGGATGACTACAGTACTTTTTTGATAAACTATAGAGTAGTTATTCAAAATGAAACTGAATAAAACTGGTTCCTTTTGAGGATACATATACATCATTTCTCTTATTTTCTTGGATACCATAAATTGGAAAAGTCCCCAGACACTTATAAACATGAATATTATGCAATATATAGACTATAAACCTAGTGTTATTAATAAATATTCATATTGAACATTACATTTGTGAATACTTTCTTCCTCATAATAACTGTGTAAATGAAGAGGTAGCTGTGTGATACCGTGAAGAACCAAGAACACTGATACTTCCAGTTCAGTTCACTAGATTAGATCGGGTTCTCAGAAGCATAATGTACATGAAAAGTCAATATTTATGTACTAAATGAAACACTGTACTCTGTTGTCTCTAGCTATATGCAAAGTCTTATGTCCTTGGACATACGAGAGATCCAAAATAACCAAAAATCATCTTGAAAGACTCAGACGTCCAGGTTTCAAAACTAAAAAGCTGCAGTAATCAAGACAGTGTGGCACTGGCAAAGAACAGCATATCCTGTAGATGATTCAAAGAGAATTGACAGTGCAGATATAAACCCTATCATTTATGGTCCACTAACTTTTGACAAAGGGCCCAAGCCAGTTCAATGGGGAAAAAATAGGCTTCTCAACAAATGGTGCTAGGACAACTGGATTTCCACATGTAAAGGAATGAATTTGGACCCCTACTTCATACTACACAAAAAATCATTTAAAGTGGATCATAGGCATAAGTATAAGAGCAAAAGCTACAAAACTCTTAGAAGAAAACACATGAGCAAGTCTTTACGATGTTAACTTAGGCAATGATTTCTTAGCTACAACATCAAAATCACAAGTGACAAAAGACAAGATTAATGAGTAGGAAATCATTAAAATTAAAACATTTGTGCTTCAAAGGACATTATCAAGAAAGTAAAAAGACAACCCACGAAGGGGAGAAATATATTTGCAAATCATATATCTGATAAGAGATTTGTATCCAGAATATATAAAGAACACTTACAACTCAACAACAAAAAGACAACCCAATGAAAAAATGGGTAAAAAATCTGAACAGATACCTCTCCAAAGAAGATGCACAAAGATGCCAACAAGCAAGGGAAAAGATGCTCAACATCATCAGTCTTCAACGAAATGCAAATTAAGACCACAATGAGCTAACACATCTCATCACATCTACCAGGAGGGCTATAATCAAAAAGATGGACAATAACATGTACTATTGTTACATTTTTTTGTGAACAAATTGGAACCCTTATACATTGCTGATGGGAATGTAAAATGGTGCAGCTACTTTGGGAAACAGTTTGGCAGTTTTTAAAAATGTTAAACATAGAGTTACCATATGACCCAACAATTCCACTCCTAGGTATACACCCAAAACAACTGAAAATATATATTCTCACAAAAACTTGTGCATAAATGTTTATGGCAGCATTGTTCATAATAGATAAAAGATGGAAAATTTCCAAATGTCCATCAGCTGATGAATGGGTAGACAAAATGTGGTATATCCACAGTATGTGATATTATTCAGTCATAAAAAGGAATGAAGTACTGATATCTAATAAACGTGGATGAATCTTGAAGTGAAAGAAGCTAGTCACAAAAGACTACATATTGTGTGATCCTGTTCATATGTATGTCCAAAATAGGTAAATCTATAGAGACAGAAAGTAGATTAACAGCTGCATAGGGCTGGGGAATTGGGGGTGGGGTGTGGCTGAGGAGTGTTTGCCAATGATTACATTCTTTTTGGGGTGACAAAAATGTTCTAAAATTAGATTATGGTGATTGTATAATCCTGCGAATATAGTAAATGTCATTTAAATGGGCAAACTTTATGGTGTATAAATTATAGCTTGATGAAGCTAAATTTTTTTAAAATGTTATATTCTGTTTAGTAATAAAGAATTTTTCTGAGATATAAAAACATCATAGTTACCTTAACTCTTTCCTAGCATTTTGGTGGTAAATTTTTATACACAGTGAATATCATCAAAGGCAACCCCAAACCAAATGCTAAAAAGAGGTCCTTTGTACATACATCTGCTGTTGGTAGTGGAGTTAGTTTTTAATCTCAGGTTGACCACTTTGCACGCAGCATACTTTAACCTGCTGTTGGCTACTTCCCAAAATGACCACTCCTCTACTGCCCCGGTCCAACAAAAAAATAAGAAAAGGTTGAGCCAGCCCTGATGGCCTAGCAGTTCAAGTTCAGCACACTCCACTTTGGTGGCAGGGGTTCAGTTTCCCAGGCGTGGAACCACAAGACTCATCTGTCAGTAGCCATGCTGTGGCAGCAGCTCACATAGAACTACAAGGACCTACAACTGAAATATACAGCTATGTACTTGGGCTTTGGGGAGGAGAAAAAAAAAAGGAAGAGGAAGATTGGCAATAGATGTTAGCTGAGGGCAAACTTTCCCAGTAAAAAAAAAAAAAGATTACATAATTATTTCTTCAATATGCTTATGTTACACATCCAGATGAAAATAGGTTAAAGATCTGTTCCATAGATTAGAGCTATTTATACTACATATCATTACTTTTTAGAGTCATAAGTCTTAGCAGCAAGCTAGCTTTGCAGATAGAAATGTAAACTTCTAGTATTTTTATACTTTTTATGATGGAACTTCCTCAGACTTGTTTATGAGTTTTTCTATTTGGGGTATACTGAGAAAGAGCTACATAGGATTAAAAATGAAAGATCTTTTAAGGCAACTTAAAAAAACTTATTATCCCCACTTGTAGTACTTACAGGTTTTCTCCAGAAAAATAGTTGACTCACAGTCAATTTTTAATTTTGGAACAACTTCTTGTTATCAATACACTTCATGTGCCTGAAACATCTTCCTCACTAGCTACTATCTTCCATCTCACTCTAAAAAATGCAAACTAGTTCAAATCTAACCTGAACAGAACACAATTTGGAATCTGACTTTAAAATATATATTATGCATTTTGAAGAAAAAGTCACCTATAAATATATGCTTTGGGAGATTATTGGTACATCTGCTTATCAGTATATTTTAAAAGATTACCTTTCTTCCCCCTCCACACTCAGGTCTCTGTTCCACTTATTTTCATACAGTCTCACAATTTTTTCTCTCTCCAAGAATCTTTTCAGAAATATCTTGTTTCCCTTTAAATAAATACCAAGACCAGGAGAAGGACGGTGAAGCTAGGTGACCCGAAGTTCTATGCCACCAACAGGCATTCAACATGCAGAAACTTTTTCACAGGTGGCAAAATTCACTAGACATGAGAAAAATGTACAATGAAAGTTTTTGAGTAGCTTTTTATTACTCCAAGAATACTATCTTGTAAGCCAATTTTAACATTATCCAGAACACAGCACTTACATACTATGAGATAAAAGTTCCTTATGGTGTCTTCGGAAATTACTACAACTTTACAACCTCTTATCTGAAATTTCTTTGGCCTGAAATGTTTCAGAATTCAGAACTTTTATTAGAAAGGTCTGTCTGCCATATATTATGCAACACCTCCAGCAAGCGCTAGAGCTGCACTGTAATCAAACACATTAAGATTTCTGTAGAAAACTTAGGAATATTCACGCTAAGTCAATATTCAGTTATACATGGCCTCAGTTCTGTTCAGGTCGGATTTACTATTAAGGGAGTTAGGAAAGACAAAAGATTGGCATCTGTAATAACATAGTAATTTGAAATGTAGTTCTTAATGTTTGGTATCTAGTTCAGACTCACTGTAAACTATTGGTCTTTTCTTTCACAAAACTGAAAGAGTATTTAAAATGAAAAAAATGAAACTATATTTCAGGAGGTAAACGGAAAATAGATTAGCCTTGGAAACTAAGTTAACCACATTATGATTTTCCTCTAGAACTTGTCTAGCTCTGGTTAAAAAGGCCATTTCTTGGTGCGATAATGAAAGACATCAGATCAACCCCAAGCTTTCAGTGTGAGCATCCCTGGAGGCTTCAAGGATCTCAGGCAGCATGAAGACCTGGAGGAAGATAGGGAGGCCCTGGATGGCGCAGTGCTTGAAGCACACCTAAGCGGGCAAACTTCAGCTTCAGTGTATGAAGGCAAAGACAGGTCAACTAGGAATCTGTGTGGTCAACTGTTCTCTTGCCAGGACACAGGAAACGCGTTGGTATAAATTCTTGTTTGGAGGCTGCAAAAAGCGTCGCACAGAGAAGGGGGAGGAGTGGCTGATAAGTCAGAGCTGGGGCTAGAATAGAAAAGGAAACAGGGTGCCCAGTCTTGTACAAGTTGGGTGAAAATGGGTCTGAGCAACCCGTTCCTGCGTCGGTCTCCGAGGGTTCGGTACCTGCGTGGGCGGAGCACCGCCGACCCAGAAGCCCCGCCGTATCTCGGGCCAGGGCGCTGTGCTCCACCTGCGGCAAACAGTTAACTGCTGCCCGACAGTGTTCACACAGTCCATGTGCCATCCCGCGAGCCCGTCCCAGGCCCACAGCCTAGAATCCAACCCCGCGCAGAGGACACCCACGGGAACAGCGAGCGGGTCCCACTAGAGCGCAGGCCCGGCCCGCCCCCCGCTTCAAGTACGGGGCGGGACCCTCGCGGCTTTCCATCCAATCCCTGTTCCCCAATGTTCTCGGGGCGGGACCCTCGCGGCTTTCCATCCAATCCCTGTTCCCCAATGTTCTCGGGGAGGGACCCTCGCGGCTTTCCATCCAATTGCCGCTCTCCTTGGCTGCCGCTAGGGAGCCGACTGGCTCGGCTGCGAGGTAAAGCAGGCGGGCGACGCTGCGCCCCCTCCCTCCCTTAATCCTCAGCGGGTGGGGGAAAGTTACGTCCTGTAGAACGGAGTTAAATAGTGTAGAACGACGGAGGTGTCAGGACTCAGCGAGGGTCTCCTGTCATCAGTGATCTCACCTGCCGGGGTCGGAGAGGTACCCTTGAGGTTGGGCCGCTAGGCTGGTCCGCTGGCTGGTCCGTCGTGATGTTTGGTTGGAGTTGTCTCTCTCTTGGTGGCCTCTTGAGTGTGCAGAGCTGCCCTTGGGTTGGTGGGAGGAGTCTCCGCTCTCGTCGCCGTCTGCTCCTCCTGGAACCAAGCGTTGAACGCTTGTCCCCTGCGACAGGGCGCCGGCACCGGATACCTGGGCATCGGGATGTACTTTGTATCCTGTGGACCTGTCTAATGGAACGGAGTACGATTGTCCGAAACCTAGTTAATCCTGTAGTAATTTTTATCCAGCTCTCTAGCAGATGGACTTTCGCATGTGTTGGCTGTGATTACCAAAAGTTGAGTCTTGGGGCCTCCCAACCCCTGGCTTGTCTGCCTTCCACCCTCTTTCCAAGTTTTTGTTAATTATCCCCCCCCTGCAATTGTTAAGCTTCTTTCTTCCTTCCCACAGTCGCCAGGCTTGTGATCTCAAAACAGAATTGTTGCAGCAGGCTACCGGCAGTCCTAAACAGTTCATCTTGGTGTACTGGTATGTGACAATCTATTTTTTTACTTGTTTCTGATTGACTTTCCGCTTTGAGTTTACATCTTAATGCCACCAGGAAGCCCACTGTAATTGAATCCAGTGTCCTCATTTTCTAAATGCATATATAGGTTCTTTTGTAATTATATTATTTAATTTAATCTTTGTGTTTGAAAATTCATGGCAAATAATCCTTCATGAAAGAATCTGATAATTCATATTTTTAACATGTACTTCCTGGTGAGGTGAGATTGTAGTGAGAATGGAATTAGTAATCTTGGTCTCAGTTTCCTAGAGTCTATTAAGTGGCAGGGAGGTACACAGAGAATAATTTATCTTTTATATATATGTGTATTAGTTTCCTATTGCTACCATAGCAATTTATTACAAACTTAACAAACTTTTTTTTTAACAGTTAAAAAGATAAATTTATTATCTCACAGCTTCTGTAGATCTGAAGTCCATGCGGGTTTTAGCTGGGTACTCTGTTTAGGATCTCACAAAGCTGAAATAAAGGTTTCTGTATGTCTGGGCTCTTTTCCGGAGGCTCTGGGGGGGGAATCCACCTGCAGGCTCATTGAGGTTGTTGGCAGAATTCATTTCCATGCAGTTGTAGGACCAAGATTCCCATTTCTGTACTGTCAGCTGAAGCCTCTCTCAGTTCCATAAGACTGACCATCTGCATCTTCAAAGCCAGACAACACCTCCAACACTTTTCATGCTTTTAATCTCCCTGACTCATTGTCTGCCACCAGCTAGAGAAAGCTTTCTGCTCTTAAGGGCTCAAGTGATCAGATTAGGCCCACCTGGATAATCTCCCGACTTTAAGGTCAGTTGACTGTATAAAATAACGCAGTCACACTCATGGAAGTGATAATCTCATATTCATAGGTTCTGTGGATTAGAGGGAGTGGAATCCTGGGGGGCGTTCATAGAAATTCTATCTAGGATAATATGGTTGTCTCTACTAGATTATTTTTATAATGTGCTTTTGCAGGCGGTTTTTAAAAAAATCCTAACAACTCTATCTGATTATATGATTATCCTCTCTACAGATAAGGAAATTCAGTTAAAGTTGGTTGTCCAGAGGCACGTGGTATTTGGTCCTAGATCTACATTTCCATTAGGTCTAAAACCATGTTTATGGATGGTCAAAGAGAAGTGCAGCCAAAGTCATTAGATAGGGAGAAACTATGAGATCTTTGTTGTACCTCATTTTTGGATTCTCTCTTTATATTAGTGGTATAGGCTAAGCTCTTCTACCCTAGCAAAGAAAGGCCAGAATACAATGGCATGAATAAGATAAAAGTTTTTTCATACATGTAGAGGAAGGAGTCCAGAGCTAGTAGATTCTGACAGCCTCAGTGCATGGCTTCCAATAATAGGTCCAAGATGCCGTTCCAGTTGGCACTACCTGCTAGGCAGTGAGAAAGAGAGAACGCACAGGGAGAGCACATGTAGTCCTTAATAGGGGCATGACCTTTGTGACATACATCACAAACCTGGACTTGAGCTCCAAGGGAGAGTAGGAAAGATACAGTTTTGTGGCTGTATACCCAACTAAAACTCAGGATTCTGTTAAGAAAGAATGGGAAAAATGATATTGGCTGAAAACAGTCTCTGCCACACCCTTGTTTTTGATGGTTTATTCTGTAACGTTCTATGAGTGGAATATTTTGTTTGGCTTTGCTGTTAGTTTTAAAAAGTAGTATTTAAAGGACAGGAAATTCTTATTCAATATTAATGTTCTTGATTTCTCAATTGCTATTTTAATATATAATTTAATTTATATATATTTATATAATTTAATTTCTTTGAGAAATCTCATTTTTCATTTAGCACTTACATACATCATTCATTTTGATTTAGTTTTGAGTTAGTTTGATTTCTCTGATGAAAATTAATACAGTTGTGGAAAGTGTTGAAGATTGCTTTGGGATGTGTGAAACCATTCTGCATATCTGCATATACCATCTGCACAGTTAGGTCACAGCAGCTTGTCATGTGATTTGTGTATACTATAATATTCTGTAACTCGACAGTTGGATGACTTTTCCACACTTCTTTATACTTTGCTCTTCAAAATTCTTTCTCTCAGCCCATCCTTTTCTGCATCTGAATTGTACTTCCCCATTTAGACCTCCTGCAGGTCTCCTCATCCGCTATCGTGTAGCCTTTATATACTTGGAAGATCGCGGTCAAACAGATCTGGGCTTGAGTTGTTGCTTTGACTTTGGGCAAGTTACTAAATCTCTCTTGAGTTTTGGTTTCTTCATATGTAGAGTGGCCGTGAATGCCATCATTCAGAGATAATATGAAGATTAAGGAGATAACACATTTTCTTTAACACTGCAGTACTTGGCAAATAGTGGATGCTCAATTAATGATAATTATGCGGTTCCCATTGATCACTCCTTAGCCTCTAGCACTGTGAGTCTATACTTTAAAAAAAAAATTTGTTTTTCTCTCTCTGACAAGTTTATGAATGCCTTAAGAACTAGCATCAAGTCCTGGGTAGCCTGTGGTCCCTAGATATTAATTTGGTGAATTGGAACTAGCATATATAAGAATATTTATGAGATTGAAGTTGTGAGGGCTTTTTTCTTTAGTTTTCCGATTGTGATTGCATCATGGAAAATCAGTTGGCTAAATCAGCTGAAGAACGAACATTTCAGTACCAAGATTCTCTTCCATCACTGCCTGTTCCTTCACTTGAAGAATCATTAAAAAGATATCTTGAATCAGGTATGTTTGTAATCTTCTAGTGTATATTAATTTTGTTAGCAACTTAGAAAACTGTGAAATTGTTAGAAGTTGATGAGGATCTAATTGCTTTTTCCTCTAGGCTCATGATAATTAAAGTATTCTTAAAATGTCCAAAACTTCTCCTCTCTCATGTTAATTTTTCCATAGTTTGTAAAGCCAGATAGTACTATTAGGCTTACAATAAAAAGTAGTAGTCCTCTGCCTCATCCCCCCTTAAACTGGGAATCCTGCAAATCCCACTCCCTCAGGCAAGCATTTTCAAATATTGTTTCTGTTTCTTGTGTTGTTTATCTCTGGATTTAAACCAACATTCTTATATTACTATTTCTTGAATTTTTAGTTGTAAATATTTTAAATTCGTTCCTAAAAAGATGTGGGTTTAACTTTCTGTATCTCATAACCTTCCTTCCCCCTACACCCAATGTATATGTGATCCAACATATCCACATTTTCTCTCTCATTCTCTCAATATAGTGGTACAAAATCACCATTTGGGATTAAATTAGTATTAAATCAGGTTTCACCTGATTTAAATCAGTATTTATTTGAATTAAATCGCCTGACCATTTAGGGTTTATGGTTATGCGATTATTCACAAGAGAACCATTCAGTGTACTTTGATTATCTTTTTGCTACATTTTGTTTTTCCTCATTTTTCATTTGCTTAGTACTTTGTATCCATAATGAATTGAATTCCAAACACTTCAATACACTGAAAATCCCTGAATTTAAACACATAAGATATTCTCTTAGTTTCATTTCTTCTTGGAGACATCTCTGCTGGGGCCCTCTACTCTTCTGGTTCAGTCAGCATTCACTTTTCTTGAGCTGGCTGGACAGCTGTTATCCTGGGGCTTTCCTTCGGCCACCATCCTGGCAGTTCTCTTCGCCTCTCTCTCCTGTGTTGGATTCTCTACTTCCTGGATTCCATCTTCCTCTTTATCTTCCCTCATTTTGGTGCAATGTATCTTCAGTAGCTACTTGAGAAAGCGTGTCTAGGAGGAAAGGAATCTAAGACCTAAAAATGAATGTATTTTACATTCATACTTGATTGTTTGGTGGAGTATAGAATTCTGGGTTGGAAATGATTTTTCTTAAGAGTTTTGAAGAAACTGTTCTTCTTGAGAAATCTGATGCCCCTCTGATGTTTGATCCTTTATATGTGACCTGTTGTTTTTTACTCTCAGGATGCCTTTGAGAACGTTTTTCTTTGTCCCTACCATTCTGAATTTCCCAGTGATGTAGGTTTTTACACGTGTGTAGGTATTTACATTTATCTCTCTGAACACTCAGTGGGTTCTTTTAGTTTAAAAGTCATGTTCTTCAGTTCTAAGAAATTTTTAAAGTATGTTTCTTTGATAGTTTTCTCCTCCCTTTGCTCTCTGGAATTCCTATTACTTAGATCTGGGTCCTTCTGGGCTAAGCTTTTAGTTAAAAAAACTGTTTCCCTTTCATTATTTGTGCCTTTCCCTTTTTGGTCTATGTACTGTTTGATATCACCAATCCTTTTTTTGTTCCATTCTGCTCTCTGACTCAAGTGAGAGGCTTTCCTCAATATCTGGTAATCCTTAGTCATTCATATTTAAGAGTCAGACCTTTAAACCTGATTGGGACCTCTGTGTGCATGGGTAGGGCTTCGAGGCTAGGGGACCTTATATTAAGCCTTGTAGGGTAATAGGGCAGAGGTATAGCAGTTCCATTAGGGCATAGCCAAATACTCCTTTCTCTTGGACTGACTGGTTTCCCCAAAGAAGAATCCTCTCATCTTTTGTTCAGAAGGCATAAGCCTGACTGCTAGTGTTTTGGGGGCTGGGTAGGGGAAGGGGGCTGGAGGACTCATTGTTCTGGGTGTATACTTTCATTATAATCCCTGTTTTTCAATATGGGGTAGAACCTATGTATTCAGTTTGTCTGGTTCAACTCCTGAGAGTAAACCTCTGGATTTCTACTGGCATTGGGAGGAAGTTGCCTGGCTTTCTAGAGTGGAGAAAGAGATCTGCAGGGTCTAGCGTGGATGGCGTGGTTGTCTGCTGCTTTTAAAGACTTTCCAACAGTCCTCCTGTTTTGAGCCTTCTTTGCCCCTTGCCTTTGGGAGCCCACCTGTGTTGAACTGTTGAAGCTTTCTGGGATTCTGCTGCAGGGATGGGGCTGCTTCTTGGTTTGCACCTAACCCCACCCTGTCTCCTCCTCCCTTCCATCTCCAGGGTTTAGATATTAAGTTTCTCCGTTCTACAAAGTCAGTTACCGGTTTCCCATGTGTTTTCTAATTTGTAAAATGTTAGTTTAACTTGTATGCTGTCCTCTCTTCTTTCATTTTCTTTGTCCTTATGAATCTATGCCTTTTTTATTACTTCACTGTCATTTTAGTGAGTTTCCAGGAGTGGAAATAAATGTATGTATTTAGATCACTTTAACTGGAAACCCTCTGATTTTTTTTATATCTTCTTTTTCTCTCTTTTTTCTTATCTACTCTCATCTGGAAGTTCTAATTTCTTTTTTTAAAAATTCACTGATTATTCACTTTTTTTGATTATTCACTTCATTTATACTTTCTCTGAATACAGCTTTTGAATTGAGTTTAAGATAAGACTTTGAAGGGGCTGGCCCAGTGGCTGAGTGGCTTAAGTTCGCGCGCTCTGCTGCAGGTGGCCCAGTGTTTTGTCAGTTCGAATCCTGGGCGTGGACATGTCGTTGCTCATCAAACCACGCTGAGACAGTGTCCCACATGCCACAACTAGAAGGACCCACAACTAAGAATATACAACTATGTACTGGGGGGCTTTGGAGAGAAAAAGGAAAAAAATAAAATCTTTAAAAAAAAAAAGATAAGACTTTGAAGAGACAAAATAAAACAAAAGGAAGATATTAATATTAATGTCCCTTGATTTCTATTCTACTTTCATCTACAGCTTAATTTTCAGAACAGTTTTTCATGGACTAAGAACCCTGTATCCTTTTTTTTCTTTTTTGAAGGAAACCATTATTGGCCACAAGACACCCTAAACAGCTCTGGGCAGGCTTTACACTTAAATTTACATAAATATTGCATATATACATAATGTTCAAGGCTTTGCTTGAACATTAGTGGAAAGGAGCTTAATTTCTATTATTCGTGGCTAAACAGGATTTACTTTCCTATTGACTAATAGCTAGACGATAGCTCTGTCTTTGTCATTTTAACTATCATCTTGGACTATTTTAAAATAATTTTTCAGACCATGATTATCAGATTACATAATATCCACTGTTTTATTTTTTATAGTATTTTGCATTGTTGCTTTTCAGCCATTATCATGTACTAAATTATTGTAACTTATTGGGCTTCTGTGATAATGAATACATACATAGTTGTTTTACATATCTGAGTCTTAAGGTTTGTATAAGTAATAAAAATTGAGGTGAGTTTGTGGTACTTGATGTCTAAATACTTTAATGCATATTTTTTCTTTATAGTAAAGCCCTTTGCAAATGAGGAAGAATATAAGAAAACTGAAGAAATTGTCCGAAAATTTAAAAATGGGATTGGAGGAGAATTACACCAGAAATTACTTGAAAGGGCAAAAGGAAAAAGAAATTGGGTATTTATGTTATTGTGCTTATAATTAGGAAATTGATGCTTAATGAATTAAAAATAAAAATGTATGTAGATTTTGTTTTAAAATTATTACTTTAAAGATTCTTGAAGTCATTGTTGTCATTATCATTATCCAAAAGAATGAATGAATTATTTAACTCTGGGGAGTTTTGAGTGTTGTGAGTGTGCTCCTCTCTTATCATATGGGGAATTTGTTAAAATGCAGATTTCCTGGGACCAGTGATTCTAATTCGGTATCTCTGGAATGGGGGCCCAGAAATCCTTATTTTAGCAACTATTCCCTATGGTTCTGATGCAGGTGATCTGTAGACCATGCTTCAGAGAAACATCTTGTCCAGGTAATCATAGGCTAAAAAACCCAAAACACTAAAGTAGACATCTCACTTAGGTGGTGTACAAATATCTAAATAGTGCAGGGGAGAAAAAGGGCCATTGCAGAATTGGAATGGAGAATGATTATGAGTATTCTATGTTTCAGTTATATAGACTGAGATGTTGGTATAATAATTATTGAGGATCTCAGTAATTTTCCACAAGGAATCTTCTTTGACCTCTTGAGCTTAAACTACTCTTATTTCTATAGTATGAACCAGAGAATGAGTTTTCATAATTAGAAAACATTGCCTTAGTATAGAAATAATGATTGTAACTATCTTTTAGTTTTAGAAATAAAAAGCAAGCTGATTTTTTCATTAGCCATTGATACCTATGATGGAATAATAAAATTTTCTACTTCCAGATTTCTTTATTTTCAGTCTTGAAACTTGAGTGCTTTTAATTAAATCAGAGTAAAGGTAAAGAAGTTGTTCTGTCTGTATCTTTTTCACTTATATCTTTTTCTGAATGACTGATTATAGTTTATAACATCAATTTCTTCAAAAAGAATGCCAAGCAATTTTATGAGATCTGTTTACTTATGTATGAAATTCAATTGTGTATTGTGAAAGAGGTACACATAGAAAGTAGTGTCTTTGAGAAATCTAAATTAGTTTTTAGTCCACCAAAGAGTTTTTATATTTCTGATTTGATATTTCCGTTTTTGCTTGGGAAAGGAAAATTGTAAATGCCTTAATAACTGTTATATTTAAGTGAGGATTTGTTGAATGCATGTTATACACCAGGTGCTCTGAGAAAACACACTTAAGTACTTTGTTGAGTATTTGTGACAATTTGATCTGTCTGAAGGTGTCTTTTTAGTGCTTTCTTGTTTCATGTTTTTGATAATGTAGTTAAACTGAATAGTACTTAAGATCCTTCAATTCTAAAGGAAAGAAATGATCACAATAGCATTTTTCAATATCTATGATGATTTAAAACAAGAACATACGTTAAGTATTGAAGAGTAAAGCAAAAAGAACAAATTTAGCTCTTTTTTATTTATTTATTTTTTTTGCCAGCACTTACACATTCAAGTATTATCAATATCATTAGGCTGATGTTTTTAATTTCTTTTAGCTGGAAGAGTGGTGGCTGAATGTTGCATATCTGGATGTTCGTATGCCGTCACAACTGAATGTCAACTTTGCGGGTCCTGCGCCCTATATTGAACACTATTGGCCTCCAAAGGAAGGCACCCAGTTGGAAAGAGGAAGTATAAATCTTTGGCATAACTTAAACTACTGGCAGCTATTAAGAAAGTAAGGATAGTTATGTGAATTTAGTAACAGATTTACTCAAGGTCTCAGGTAGCAAAATGTTGAGAAGCTTGATTTAGTTTGGGGATGAATGCTAGAGTTGTGACTGTTTAGTTTATAAGGTTTATAATGACTTCTTGATAAAAAATACTTGTTTTTGTTTCAATAGAGAAAAAGTGCCTGTTCATAAAGTTGGAAATACTCCTCTAGATATGAGTCAATTCCGAATGCTATTTTCTACCTGCAAGGTGCCAGGAATTACTAGAGATTCAGTTATGAGTTATTTTAGGACTGGTAAGTAGAAAACTTGGGTACGTTTTTTGGTAAAGGCATTAGGATTTGGGTAGTTTTGCTGTAGTTATGACACTGTGGAGCATACTCTTTTGAAGAATATTCTTACTGGATTTTGACTAATCAAAGGCTTTTTGTGAACCTATCTTTCAGTCATTCTGATTAGTTGGAAGTAATTTATGGGAATGGATTTTCTAAACTATATCTTTGATTCTCTGCAAACCTGATGCTCACTTTGCTTCATTTGAGAGTTTAAATTTTAGTTCAAGAGTAGAATTATGAATCAGAGTATTAGGAAATCCGGAGCATATGATCTGGATCCTTCCCTTTCTACCCTCGTTCCTTCTTATCTGAATTCTCTTTTTGAGTGTTTTCTTGTGTGTGCTCCTCATGCCCCATTTCTCTTTGTGGGTGTGCCTTTTTCCCCCTTATATGAGATGAGAACCTCGTATCATTCTTCTTCAAGGCACTAGAGTTCAGATTGACTCATCAAAGTTTTTGTTTTTACTGTCAGTTTAGTAGCCTGGTGTTTAATTTCTGCTTGGTGTCCTAACATATCCTGAAATGGAAAATTCTGTTGTGGTAACTGCTAATTTTAGTTTTAGTGACTGTTTTAGATTAGGTAGTCAGGGAAGGCCTCTCTGAGGATCTGAATGATAAGATGATCCAGCACAATTTTTTGGCTTTTTATTTGTTTTTGTTTAGTTCAGATTGTTGTTTTTGTTATGTATTTTGGATTTGTAGTTAGAAGAATTATTCATAGATTGGTTGTGAGATAAAAGAGAAAAGGTAGAATCAGAAATGACTTCAAGATATTTGGCTTGAGTAACTAACGGGGTGGATAGATGTGTTGCTTTATGAGATGGAAAAAATTGAGGGGAGATATTTAGGGAGGAAAATCAAGAGGTCCCTTAGACTATGTTGAGTTTAAGATACCTTTTAAATATCTAAGTGGAAATGTAAATAGGCAGCTGGATACAAAGTTTGGAGTTCTGGGGAGAATTCAGGACTGCAGATATAGATTTAGGAGTCATCATTAGCAGGCATAGAAATCGTTTTTAAAGCCATAAGAGTAGCTAAGCTTTCAGAACAAATATAGGTGAAGATGATCAGGGGAACCATTCTTATCACAATCAAATGCAGTATTTGGTGGTCAGAGGAGGAGGAGCCAGCAAAAGAGACCAAGGTAGGAAGAAAACAAAGACAGTGCTCTCCCAGAAGCCAGGAGGTGGAAGTGTTTTTTCTAATGCTCCTGAGAGGTCAAATGAGATAAAAATTAAAAGTGACCACTGGATTTGTCAACGTGATGGGAAGAGAGGCTGTACTTGACAAGAGCTGTCTTAGTGGAAGTTGTGCAAGGGAGCTCACCTGGAGGAGATAAAAGCAAACTGAGGAAGAGGTGACAACATTTGGAAATTAATGCTTGCAAAAAAAGTTTTGATTTGGGGGCTGGCCCCGTGGCCGAGTGGTTAAGTTCGCGCGCTCCGCTGCAGGCGGCCCAGTGTTTCATCGGTTCGAATCCTGGGCGCGGACATGGCACTGCTCGTCAGACCACGCTGAGGCAGCGTCCCACATGCCACAACTAGAGGAACCCACAACGAAGAATACACAACTATGTACCGGGGGGCTTTGGGGAGAAAAAGGAAAAAATAAAATCTTTAAAAAAAAAAGTTTTGATTTACAGTGGGAGATATTATTTTTGTTTTTGTTTTTGTAAAAGATGGGTGATAATTATATCATAGGAATGACATAGGTGAGAAAGAAAAGTAATCTTGTAGGAGAAAGGATAAGGAGCTAAAAACATTGAGAAGGTAAGAGCTGAGAGGATCAAGAGCAGAAAGGGTAGAGGGATTGGTCTCTGACAGGAGCAAGGATGAGAGGGAGTGAAAGTGTGAATCTGGATGGAGATAGATTGGTTAGTTTTGTTGTTGGAAGATGAGGAGGTCCTATGTATTACTTGTGTTTTCCTTGGTGAAATAAGAACTGAGGTTATCAGCTGGGGTGGAAGATCTGAGGAGAAAGGAGAAGGTTTGAAGCTATTTTGGAAAGTGGGAAAAGCAAATATGCTGTGAAAGTGTAGGGCAGCTGAACAGTGTTGAGTACCCTTTTGAGATGTATATTTATGAATTTAAAGTTAGATTAGATGGTGTGTTGGTGTTTTTTTTCTTCAGCATCAATCAGGGGCAGGTGCAGAGGAAAAGAGAGTGAAGGATTTAAGGGTTTTTGCCAGGGAAAAATTATAATGTTGGGCCATGGAATCTATCCTGGTTATGGAGGAAATGTGTGTTGAGGGAGAGGGCAGCATGCAGGCTGCTGTGACTAAGAGGATAGTGTCAATAAGGAGGCACTTGTTAGAATGAGTTTAGTTTTGTTTTGTTTGTTTACTTATCCCCTAAGAGACCATTAAGACTGAGTCAGTCATGCCTTTCATCCTGTTTACCTCATTTTGCCCAAGAAGTTCAGACTTCCCCCTGTCATCTCTTGTCATCTGCATTCATGGATTTGTGCATAGCCTAATTTGATTCAGGTTCCCTACTACTGTGACCCACCCCCCCTCATTCCCCAAACACTTCTGCTCTACTTTCTGGACCTCATGGTCAGCAAAATCCATTATATCCTCAACTTTTTCTCCAAAAGTTCCTGTTTCCTTCTGAAAGGTACTGTCACTGAAACCTGGTTATTCTTTGAGCCTACTACTTTCCTTATAACCATCTCAAGTGGGGATTTTTTTTTCTCTTATACTTTGGTACTAGAAGGCGTGTAGGAGATGTTGGTGTCCTCTTTATTTCCCATCACCCTTTCCATTTTCCTTTCTTCCTTACAATTTATTCATGCCCTGGGCATTCCCCCCTCAACACACACACACAAGATGCTATCAGCTTGTATGACCACAGCATGTCAGTGTTGCGGTGAATTTCCTTATGATCATTCCTCTTCATTCAATGATTGCTTTAGCACCAGTCTCATTGTCTTGCTTTCCATTACTACCTCAGTCACATTCTCGATGACTTTAGCTTCCAATTATAGATGATCATGGCCTCTCCTTTCCTTAACTTTCTTCCCGCAGGAATCTCTATCTCTACTCCTTCTCAGGCAGCCACCCACTCCCATGGTCATACCCTACACCTTGTTATTATCAAAAACTTCATTACCTCTAACATCTCAATTGTAGGCATCTCACTGGCATCTCCACTTTTTCTTCCCAACTCACTTCCTTTAGTAGTCCACCTCAGCCACATTTTTCTTTGACCACATTGTGACTTACAATTCATTTACCCTACTACAGTTCTTCGCAGTTCCATTTCTCCCTCCACCACCCCCAGTCTTCACTTCTGTCTGTGGTTTTTCACTGTAACCGCTCCATTGAATACACATTCAAATCTTTGCCCACCCACTCCCTCCCTATCCCAACCCCAACCATTAAATTTCAATCTTCTGTCTTATTTCTACATATCAAAGATATCTATCCTAGCAATTTACTTGGCCAGAGAAAACCACAAAACTTCACTTACTTTTCTCAGTTAAACCTCAAGTGGACCCACAGCGCTACCTTGCCGTATTCTTTTGTCAGGTCATTCTCTCACTTCTAGAGAAGACTGTTTCATGCCTTGTCCTTCCTTATTCTCAGCTAGTAAATTCTTTTCTTATTCTCAACAAATATGAAGCAATCTTTCCATCACCAAATTTACCAGCCTATCTGATTAGGCAGAATAATGGCTCCCCAAAGATGTCCGCTTCCTAATCCTTGGAACTTGTTGAATGTGTAGGTTACATGGTAAAGGGATATTAAGGTCGCAGATGAAGTTAAGGTTACCAATCAATTGACCTTGAGATGGAGAGATTATCCTGGATTATTCAAGTGGGCCCAGAGTAATCACAAGAGTTCTTGTAAGTGGAATAAAGAGGCAGAAAAGAGAACAAAGAGATGGCAGCATGATAAAGTCGTGATCCTCCCTTGATGGCTTTGAAGATGGATGAGCCCACGGATGTGGGCACCCTCTAGAAGCTGGAAAAGTGAAGGAAACAGATTCTTCTAGAAACGGATTCTCTCTCTTCCTCCAGAAAGAACACAGACTTGCTGATACCTTCATTTTAGCCCAGTAAGACACATTTCAGACTTCTGGTCCCCAGACCTGTAAGATAATAATTTTGTGTTATTAGTGGTAGTTTGTTACAGCCGTCATAGAAAACATACTCATTCAAATATTTACCCATCTTGCAACCTCCTTGTAATACATTAATGCACAGTCATATACTTTGCCTTCCCTTGTTTAAAATGGATGAACTGTTCTGCCTCCTAAGGACAACCCTTCTATATGGTGCACTGGGCCCCACTTCCTCTTGCCTAATCAAGGACCTTGCTTCTGGATTATCCTCTTTCTCTGTGCTGCATTATCAGTTTTCCCTTTTTACTGGACTGTTGCAATCTGTAATATCTCACATCTTAAAAGAAACAAAATTGACCTCTTGTCTCCTTCAAGTGTCACACCCCAGTCAAAGCCACCATCACCTTTCACTTAGGTCATTCTCACCTGGACCACTTCGGTCACCTCCCAATTGACCTTGCTGTATATTCTCTTGCCTCTTATAATCTCTTCTTCATATAGCAGCTGGAGTGACCTTTGTAAAATATTAATTAGGTTACGTTATTACTCTTCTCCTTTAAAACCTGCATTGACTTCCTTCCCATCATACTTAAAATTGAAAGTCCTTTATGAGGCCAATATGATCTGGCTCCAACCTTATCTACCATTCTACCCTTTTCTCTCTCTGCTGCAGCTGTACTGAACTTGTCTTCCTTTAAACAAACTAGCTCATTTTTGTCCTAATGCCTTTGTACTTGCTGTTTCCTCTGCCTGGAACTCTCTTCCTGCAGATATTTCCATGGTTCCCTCCTTCACTTCATTTAGGTCTCTGCTCAAATATCCCCCCTTGGGCTCATCCTGAGGTAGCACACTCCTGTCAAGTCACCCCCCTCCCCACCATTTATTGATTAACTTGGCATCAAGTTTATTTTCCTTTGTCTTTGCCAGCCCTAAATTTTGGATAGGATTTGGTTAGTAGACAACAGCAATAAAAGGTTGCGGTGGTAGATGTAAAAGGGTATGGGGATTTTTGAAGGGGAAGAGAGAAGAAATGGTTTGAATGTAACCATGAGAGACAAGGAAAATATATACCTGACCTCTTAGGACTTGAGGAAATAGGATACAAGAGAAAAAATAGTAGTGCTATCAGGACATGATCCTTCTTCATAGTTGATGAATAGATTTCATGGGATAATGTGTATCAAGCATTTAGCACAGTTCCTTGTACATAATATCAACCAGTAAATTTCCTTCCAGTAGCAGTATGTCTTCTCTAACTTTCTTCTTCTTTTTCCTTTTTCCTTTCTTAAAAGAAGCAGGGATCATATAGGAAGAACCTTGTCAAAGGGATTAGTACTTGAAAAATGGGGCTAAATCAGAATAGTCAAAGGTTTACAGCAAGCAAATAGTTTTGGGGGAGTTAAGATGTGCTAGAGGAATCATAGAATCAATTATCAGTGGTTTACCAGTTGTTATCAGAGCCTTAAGTAAAACTACAGATTGGGCAAAATTCTTTCTCCTTGCTACTCAGGCATACAGTGCCCTTACTCTACTAAAAACGATTTTATTGAGAAATCATAGCCAGGTATTACTGCAATTAAATTATCTGAACAATCAACATTAAAATATTCCCAAAGAGAAACTTGTTAGTTTATTCAAATAGCTCTCCTCCAGGATTCCTCTGCTACCCTTTTCCCCTTCCCATTCCTACCCATAAATAAAGCAAGAAATCCCTGCAGTAGTTTGGGATTTATGTGAGTCTCAAGGTGTACAAATATTTGAAACTCCCATGGATTTCTAGATGTTTCTAGAAACATGGACAGGTTTCAAGAGCTTCTATTTATATCATAATAACTGAAATTCCATCATCTTATTAAAGTGTTTGTGTTCATGTGATACAGTTGATGAATATATGATAAAATACTGGAGGAATGGTTATTTTTCCCTATTGGATGTAAATATGCAGCTTTACTCTTGTTTAACTTGAGGGGTTTGAGTCTTATGGTTTCTGTTTCTTTTTCCAGAGAGTGAAGGGCATACTCCAAGTCACATTGCAGTCCTCTGTCGTGGCCGAGTTTTTGTCTTTGATGCAATACAGGAAGGATGTTTGATCACCCCACCAGAGATTCTCAGGTTTTCAAACTACTTTCTTGAGTCTTGTTAGGTCTTAAGCCTATGCTTAATGTTCAGAATTGCTTTTTTATAAGGTGAGAGTAAGCTTAAAAATAAGAATTTTATATCTGCTGATTTTTTAAAAATCTACTTTTTTGATTTAAATTAATTTTGTTTTACTAGATACATATGAGTATATTCTACTTGGAGAAAAGGAAAACATTACAAGTATTACCAATCCCATTCCCCACCCCAGAATTAATCACTGTTACTAGTTTGGTGTACTCTATCCTTCCAGATCTGTTAGAGAGAATTTATATGTACATACAGATTTTTAAAATAGAATATGTATGTATATTTTATACATAGTGTGTATTACATACATAGAAATGGCAGTATATATGTAGTATTATTTTGTGTGTTTATATTCTTAAAGTGTATTCTGGAAAATTTCAACATGTAGAGGGAACTGTATAATGAAGCTCTTCATGTCCTCTTCCCCAGCTTCAACAGTTGTCACCTAGCTTCAACAATTATAAATTCATAGTCTTCTTTCAACTGTACCTCCTTGTACCCTTTCCTTTTCTCACCCATGGATTATTTTAAAGAAAATCTCAGACATAATAGCCTTTCACTATAAATATTTTAGTATGTATCTCTAAAATGTAAGGACTCTTAAAAACATACATGTACAGTACCATTATCACACCTAATGACTTCTAAGAAATTAACAAGAATTCTTTAATATCATTAATGTGCAATCAATTGTTCAAATTTCCTAGATTGTCATATAGAAGTCAAGTTGAATACATCTATATATATTTTAAATTATTTTTGTTAAGTATTACAAACATACACAAAAGTGCACACAGAAATATACAGGTGAATACTCATGTAACCACCACCCAGGTCAAGATGTAGAATGTTTCTAGTACTCCAGAAACCTCCTTGTACCATTTCCCAGTTACTGTGCTTTCCCTCCTTCCCAAGGGTAATTGTTTAGGTTGCTTACAGTTTTTATTAGTACAGAAAATGCTGCTGTAAAAATTGCTGTACAAATCTTTTGATGCCCTTGTGCATGCATTTCTGTCTGATTACACCCAGGAGAGGACTTGCTGAGTCATAGGGTATATGTACATCCAAAATAGTTGTACTAATAAGCACTTCCACTAGTGTATGAGTTTTGTAGGAATTCTTTATACATTCTAGATAGAGATATTTATTGGCTTATTTTTATTTTATTTTTATTGCGGTAACATTGATTTATAACATTATATAAATTTCAGTTGTACATTGTAATAATATTTCAAATTCTATGTAGATTATGTCATGTTTACCAGCCAAAGACTAATTACAGTCCGTCACCATACACATGTACCTAAAGACCCCTTTTGTCCTCCTCCCCCTCCCCTTCTCCTCTGGTAACCACCAATCCAATCTGTATTGCTATGTGTTTGTTTGTCATTGTTTTTGTCTTCTACTTGAGAGTGAGGTCATATGATATTTAACTTTCTCCCTCTGACTTACTTCATGTAGCTAGCATAATACCCTCAGGGTCCATTCATGTTGTCACAAATGGCCAAATTTCATCATTTCTTATGGTTGAGTAGTATTCCATTGTGTATATATACCACATCTTGTTTCCCCATTCATCCCTTGATGGGCACCTAGTTTGCTTCCAAGTCTTTGCTATTGGGAATAATGCTGTGATGAACATGGGGTGCAGGTATCTTTATGCATTTGTGTTTTCAACTTCTTTGGATAAATACCTAGCAGTGGAATCATATGGTAGATCATATAGTAGATCTATTCTTAATTTTTTGAGGAAACTCCATACTATTTTCCATAGTGGCTGCACCAGTTTGCACTCCCACCAGCAGTGTACGAGGGTTCCCTTCTCTCCATATCCTCTGCAACACTTATTTTTTCCTGTCTTGTTAATTATAGCTATTCTGACAGGAGTGAGATGATATCTCATTGTAGTTTTGATTTGCTTTTTCCTGATAGTTAACGATGTTGAATGTCCTTTCATGTACCTGTTGGTCTGTTGGTATATCTTCTATGGAGGAATGTCTGTTCAGATCTTTTGTCCATTTTTTAATTAGGTTGTTAGTTTTTGTTGTTGTTGAGGTGTATGAGTTCTTTGTATATTTTGGACATTAACCCCTTGTCTGATATATGGTTTGCAAATATCTTCTCTCAGTTGTTAGGTTGACTTTGTTTTGTTTATGGTTTCCTTTGCTGTGCAGAAGGTTTTTACTTTGATGTAGTCCCATTTGTTTATTTTTTCCATTGTTTCCCTTGCCTGGTCAGACATGGTATTTGACAAAATGCTGCTAAGACCGGTGTTGAAGAGTGTACTGCCTATGTTTGCTTCTGGAAATTTAATGGTTTCAGATCTTAGATTCAAGTCTTTATTCTATTTTGAGTTGATTTTTGTGTGTAGTGTAATATAATGGTCTACTTTCTTTTGCATGTGGCTGTCCAGTTTTCCCAACACTGTTTATTGAAGAGACTTTCCTTTCTCCATTGTATGTTCTTGGTTCCCTTGTTGAAAATTAGTTGTCCATAAATGTGTGGGTTTATTTCTGGGCTCTCGATTCTCTTCCATTGATCTGTATGTCTGTTTGTGTGCCAGTACCATGCTGTTTTGCTTACTATAGCTTTGTAGCATATTTGTAGTAAATCAGGGAGTGTGATACCTCCAGCTTTGTTCTTTTTTCTCAGGAATCCTTTGGCTGTTTGGGGTCTTTTGTTGTTACATGTAAACTTTAGGATTCTTTGTTATATTTCTGTGAAAAATATTGTTGGAACTTTGATAGGGATTGCATTGAATCTATAGATTGCTTCAGGAAGTATGGACGTTTTAACTGTATTAATTCTCACAATCCAAGAGCACAAAATATCTTTCCATTTCTTTGTTTCTTCTTCAGCTTTATTCAACAATGTTACATGGTTTTGAGTGTACAGATCTTTCACCTCTTTGGATAAGTTTGTTCCTAAGTATTTTATTCTTTTTGTTGCAATTGTAAATGGGATTGTATTCTTAATTTCTCTTTCTGCTACTTTGTTGTTCATGTATAGAAACACAACTGATTTTTGTATGTTTATTTTGTATCCTGCAATTGACTGTATTCATTTATTATTTCTAAAAGTTTTTTTATTGGATTCTTTAGGGTTTTCTCTATATAAAATCAGGTCATCTGCAAATAGTGACAGTTTCACTTCTTCTTTTCCAATTTAGATCCCTTTTATTTCATTTTCTTGCCTTATTGCTCTGGCTAGGACTTCAGTTTTTCTCCATTGAGAACGATATTAGCTGTGGGTTTCTCATATATGGCCTTTATTATGTGGAGGTATTTGCCTTGTATACCTATTTTATTTAGCGTTTTTGTCATAAATGGATGCTGTATCTTGTCAAATGCTTTCTCTGCATCTATTGAGATGATCAAACTTCCCCTCCTCTTCAGTTTTTTGGAAGAGTTTGAGAAGGCTAGGTATTAATTCCTCTTTGAATGTTTCGTAAAATTCACCAGGGAAGACATCTGGTGCTGAACTTTTATTTTTTGGGAGGTTTTCGATCACTGTTTCAATCTCATTGCTAGTGATTGGTCTATTCAGATTCTCTGTTTCTTCTTGATTCAGTTTTGGAAGGTGGAATTTATCCATTTCTTCTAGCTCATCTAATTGGTTGGTGTACACCTTTTCATAGTATTCCCCTAAAATCTTTCGTATTTCTGAAGTGTCCGTTGTAATTTCTCATCTTTCATTTCTGATTTTATTTATTTGAGCCTGCTCTCTTTTTTTCTTGGTGAGTCTAGCTAAAGGTTTGTCAATTTTGTTTATCTTTTCAAAGAACCAGCTCTTGGTTTCATTGATTTTTTTTCTATTATTCTTTTAGTCTCTATTCCACTTATTTCTGCTCTGATTTTTATTATTTCCTACCTTCTGCTGATTTGGGGCTTTGTTTGTTCTTCTTTTTACAATTCCTTTAGGTGCACTGTTAGATTGTTTATTTGAGATTTTTCTGGTTTGTTGAGGTAAGCCTGAATTGTTCTAAACTTTCCCTCCTAGAACTGCCTTTGCTGTATCCCATAGATTTTGGCATGTTGTGTTTTCATTTTCATTTGTCTCCAGGTATTTTTTTATTTCTTCTTTGATTTCTCCATTGACCTAATCATCGTTCGGTAGCATTTTTTGGTCAGAAAGATAGTTGGTATTATTTCAGTCTTCTTAAATTTATTGAGACTTGCTTTGTGGCCTAATATGTGACCAATCCTGGAGAATATTCCATGAGCATTTGAAAAGAATGTGTATTCTATGGCTTTTAGATGGAATGTTCTATATATATCCACTAAGTTCATCTGGTCTCATGTGTCGTTTAAAGCCAATGTTCCCTTGTTGATCTTCTGTTTGGATGACCTGTCCTTTGGTGCAAGTGGAGTGTTAAAATCCCCTACTATTATTGTGTTACTGTCTATTGCTCCTTTTATGTCTGTTAATAGTTGCTTTATCTATTTCAGTGCTCCTATGTTGGGTGTATAGATATTTATAAGTGTTATATCCTCTTGTTGGCTTGTTCCCTTTATCATTATGTAGTGCCCTTTGTCTCTTGTTATAGTTTTTGCTTTATTTTATTTTTTTTTTAAAGATTGGCACCTGAGCTAACAACTGTTGCCAATCTTCCTTTTTTTTTTTTTCTGCTTTTTCTCCCCAAGTCCCCCCAGTATGTAGTTGTATATTTCAGTTGTGGGTCCCTCCAGCTGTGGCATGTGGGACACTGTCCCAACCTGGCCTGATGAGCAGTGCCATGTCCACGCCCAGGGTCCAAACCAGCGAAACCCCAGGCAGCCATAGCAGGGCGTGGGAACTTAACATTTGGCCACGGGGCTGGCCCTAGTTTTTGTTTTAAAGTCTGTTTCGTTGGATATAAGTATTGCTACACCTGCTTTTTTTTTTTTTTTTTTTTTTTGCCATTTGCATGGAGTATCTTTTTCCATCCCTTTGCTTTCAGTTTGAGT